TTGGTTTGACTTTCGTGCTGCTCTGTGTTTGCTCTTCATAATGATACAGTTGATGTTTTCATGCAATAAAGCTTCTTGTCTTCAAATCAGCAGTGTTCAATAGTTTTAATATTAAGTCAAACATCTTACCATATTATTTCTATTTTCACTGTCACAGTAAAACACAAAGTAATAAAGTGTTCAAAAACATAGAGGAAAGTTAATGTTCAAATTATCTTCAAATAAATCCACCATCCCAACATCATTAGAAAAATAGAGCAAAAATATCACATAACTACATGCTACATAAAAAAAATCTTACATTTATTTAACAATAAAAAATATTGACAGGCAAGTAATTCTGAAAAAACAACAAACAAACAAACAAAAAAACACTGAAATTCAAATGAAATTTAAAAAAAGGACAAAATTATACATAAGTCAAAACTGTATCAAAGAGACCTCGTTAAACATGATTTGTATTTGCTGGATACATCAGATGATCTCTCATGAAACCTTGGAGAGAGAATTTTAAATGATAAAGACTGATATATTGAAATAAATAAATAAATAAAATCAGAATGCAAACACAGTCAGTTGACTGGAGCTGTCCTCAACACACCATACTGTTTCCTCCTCAGAGCTAAGTCTTTCCTCAACATTTATATATTTGCAAGTGAATATTTTTCTCTCTAGCCGGTTAGACACACATCTTGCACTGCAGAACGTCTTGTGTGCCGTTGTGATTTAAGACTACACTGTAAAAATGAGAAAGCATGTTCAACTCAAAATAATTTGTGACCTGCCTTAAAATCTCGAGTTGGACAAGCTAAGAAAATTGAATTGTCTCTATATTTGAGTTCCTTCAAGTTAGAATTAATAGCTGGGCTGACAACATAGTGCCATTGACTTTATGTTTTTCAACGCATTTCAAATTACACAATGCTGTATCCAGCAGCCATTACAAGCCACAGAAGTCTCTGTCATGTTGGCTTCTTGCTACCCAAACCCCCACAATGCTCTCGACCACACAGACACAGGAGGGCTACGAAGCCAGATTAGTGGGTTAGCGAGGTATGTTGAGCTTAAGTTTTCAGAGTCACCCGGGTGGCTCTCTTTTTACCTGGCGACATCTCCATGGTAACTGATGCTGTGGAGTTAACTTGGTTGGGAGCAGGTTATGTTCAGAGTTTCGGATTTAAATCGGCTGGAAGTAGCGTCTCCATTTAACCAAATCGTTTCCTATTATTTATGAGCGATACAGACTCTCAGCTGAGGGAATATGTTTTACCTGCAAACATGTCGAGCTGTGCGTTACTAATGTCACTGAATGAAGCCGTGTAGTTACAGTATCACACACTGTAAATGTTGTGTTGCCATGGGAACCACATGTATTAGTTGGTAACGCAGAAATCACATAAATATGTTTTTATGTTTCGCTCTGATTTACTGTCAAGTCCGTTTACACTGCTGGTACTACAGCTGTTAAAGCACAGATTAAAAAATGTATTATTCTACTGGTATTTATTCCAGAGAATAGTTAGTCAATAACATTAACTTTGCTTTGATTTGGCCAAAAATTAAAGCGATACTCTGCATTATGGGACAGTGTCAGACCTAAATGCACTTCAATACAATATCATGTTTAAATATATTAAATTTAAAGTTTAACAGTTGTAATGTGCAGCTGTCAGCTGGAAATAAGCGGCTGCATTGATTGTTCAATAAATACATTACACACGTTTAACAGTTTTCTACCAGTATTTCTGTCTTGCACCATTTGCAGTAGCAGTGCTTTTTACCACCAAATTGTTTTTATATTCCTTATTGTTCTCCATGAAAACGTGTTGACTGAAGCAGCAGCACACGATCGTTTCATTTTGTGCAGAAGAGTCATAAAAAGCTCCTTTATGTGAACGCACACAGAGTCTGAAGCAGAGTTGACAAAGAAAGTTGATGACCACCTTTGTGATACATGTAATCTCCGACCAGGGCTTTAGTTTTTGTCGAGCTGACTTACACAAAGAATGCCTGGTTTTGTCAAACCTGCTTTGAAGTATACCCTTCGTGTTCTTCAGGTGTCTGGGTTTAGGCATCCCAAAAGTGAGACAAGAGCACCAGCATCAGGTCAAACTGGAAATTACAATCACCATGTTTATTATTCTATGGTAAAGAACAAGTTATTGTGTACAGAAGCCACAAAGTGTAACAGGTATGTAACGTTGGGAATATCTTTTTATTTGCTCAGACAGTAACAGCCAAACCTAAAAAAAAAAACAACGTATTGATTCGTGCTAAAGAAATTAACATATCTAACAAACAACCGGTAGTCTGACAAGATGTGTATCATTTAGTAGTTACACAGATTTAGATTCTAACAAACCGAAAGCATTTAGTCATGCACTGTGTATAAAAGATGGACTTTTTCCAGGTTTGAAAAAGTGAAGCTAATGTAAGAGTGTCTTAAACCTGCATTCTCCCTCAGCCCTGCATTCTTTATTTCTAAATAAAGAGAGACTGGGACATGGATAAAGGTTCTTCAGAACAATACCGGACTGATCTCTCGACTATCACTTTTACAGTAGCTTCCATCCAACACTGTCAGTTTGCTTAAATGACTTCTTTCACCTGTTTCACTGTAAAGCTGGAACAAGAGATTAGGAATTTTTATTTTTAATGCTAAATGAATGTCCACTGCAATGCAAACACATTATTTTACATTTCAGCCAACACTTTCTAGCTGGCAACACATTTCTTTCAGGACTTTCACTTCAATTAAAAGTTGCAGCACTATTTGTGACCTTTCAGGGCTGGAATGTCAGCCACACCTTCAGCTCATTCACCTCTTTTCACGTAACTTTATCACGTGCTTATAGTTAAACTGGCATTTTATCATATGCAATGCTTGCCTTTAAACTTAAACTTTCTGAAGGACTGAATTAATGACCAGCAACAAGCTTAAATCTTTTTTCTCATCCAAACAAACACTGAATATTTTGAAACAGTTGTGCGCTGTTGTTGGACAAATTGTATTCTTTAGGATGAATTTTACTGTTCAAGGGAAAAGTGGGTTTTATCTTTCTGAGAGGAATATGCACTGATCAGCCACAATATTAAAACTTGTCAGGCCATGAATGCAGCACTTCTGTGGTGTCTGGCACAGCAATGCTGGCAGAAGATTCTTTGGATCCTGTGGTTCGAGGCCTCTGCAGAGCAGGCATGTTCCAATGCAACCCATAGATGCTCAGCTGGATTTGGATCTGAGAAGTTCACAGGTCAGGCCAATACTTTGAGTTCTTTGTCATGTTCCTCAAGCATTTCCTGAGAAGTTTTAGCCTTGTCATGCTAAGGGAGGCTACTGTCATGGAGTGCTGTAACCACAAAGGAGTGTACGTAGCCTGCAGCAATGCTTAGGCAGCTGCTGCGTGTCAAAGTACATCTACATGGATGCCAGGACCAGAACAGTACTTCTAATGAGATGATCAATGTTATGCCTTTTCTGGTTAGTAGCTTAAATGTTGTGAATGATTGCCGTATAAGTGTGCACAAATATCAAGAAACTATATACAAAAAAAAGTCCCAACTTACTTTTTTCACACAAAATAAATAATATTTCTGGTCGGTCTGGTCTGGTCAGTGGCCAATTTAGCCACCCTTCTTTTCATTAACTGGCATGAGCAGTTACAAAGGATAGGGGGGAAAATTGCAAAAAGAAAATTCCGAATGCAACCAAAATCCATTAAGGAATGAGTGATCCTTGATTTTGAGAACAAAAATCTACATAATATACATATATTTACCCATTTGGGAAAATTTTAGCCCAAAGCCATCATTTTACTTTCATTTCCTTCATTCAATTTCCATTTCCATCTTTAACACACACACTCACATAAAACAGCAACACCACTCACATACCTAGCAGTAAGTACGTGCTACTCCTGTAACAATACCTAGCAGAGGCTAGCCAACCCTGCAGTGAGGTTGGCTGCTGTGGTGGAGCAGTATCTCATGAAAAAAACACTCCAACTGCTCCTGAGAAAGTAACCCAAATCCTGGGTTAACACCAACACGTGTCCCCATGTATCTTTCAAAATGGCACTTTTAATCCCAAAACTTGTAAGTAAATAATCAGTTAAAAAAACAAACAAACAAAAAAACACACAATAGCTTTTTGACATCCGTCTGTTATACAAAACTTTATTTGTGCACAGACAAGTCAGTAGTTGAGAATATGGCCCACCTATGAAAGTGAAACCTATAATTCACAGTTTTTCCTGTTTGGTGTAAAATACACCAATATGCACTGTGATTGTGTTTGCCAGGCCTGACTGTCTGGAAAAGTCTACATGGAGCCAGAACTTAGTCTTGATAACGCACCTCTGCTCTGAGTTCCTTTGTGATATAGTTGAGTAGTGCAGCAGTGACCTGCTGCTGCAGAGTGCTGTTGCCCATCACAAGAGCAAGGAGCTGAGCTGCATCTGTCCAGTCCAGGCTGCCTAACACTGCCATGATGTCTTCATAGAGCCTTTCTTGCTGGGTAGGAGGCAACTCCATCAGGATCTGAGGCAGAGGCCTGAACTCACCACTGGTCAGCCAGCTGCCAAGCAGACCACCGACTGCTCCACCTGGTGGAGACACAGAGTGGTCGGTGAATTAACAGTTTCAGTAGAAATCAAACGTAATTAAGTACAAGTATGAAACTAAACTGCAAGACAACAGAAAACACAATCGATGATGAATTCTGAGGGTTAATTCTGGTAATATGAGATATGGTTTTATTACTAATGTATCCCATGACAGTCCAAACTAAAGCAAACCGAAGCAGTTAGAGCCTGTTATATCTTACGTCTTGTGCCACAGAGGTCCAAAGTAACTTAAAAATGACAAACACCAACGAGACACACTGCTGCACTGGGTGGCCTGTCCATTCATTACCATGGACATATCCACTCTATTAATGTTGACTCAATCTCATGTTATGGTTCATCATGCTGTTACCCATCAAACAGTGTCCAGCCTCTCAGAAAGAGGAGATTAGATTTCAAAACTTCCCATTATCTTCCAATGGAATAAATCACATAGTAATAATAATATTAATACTAAGCTTTAAGTTTTTGTTGTTGTTGATTCTGGCGATCAGTCATTAAAAAATGTGGAAAATCAGAAGTTCATTGTGATAGCTTTTTGTATCTAACCAAGGGTTCAGATTTGTTTGATTTTGGATTGACAATGATTTAGAAATAATAAAAAACCTATTCTCTGTCAATGTTCTACTAGTCAGTGACCATGATATAGGTTTTGTAACACCATATTATAAATCTGTCCTCCTGGAATAGTCAATCTTCAGAAACCCTCCTCTGTGAATATTAGCCTACTTAAACATTTCTACTTTCCTTCAAGATATGGGGCACTTAAAATTTTAGAGCCTAATGTGCTTACCAACAGCAATCCCTGGTGGTCCACCGAGCAGTCCACCTACAAAGGCAGCTCCTCCTGCCACCACTGCTCCTTTGGTGGAGTTTTTCACAGCAACCTTGATCTGGTGATGAGCTGATAATTCACAGCACAAATGCATGACATTATCCAGTCGTGGAGGCATCTCTGTGCTGCGGCACTGCTGAGGCAGCTGCTGTCCAGTCAACGTTAACGTGGTGTCGTACCTAAAAACAGATCATAAGAAAAAAGACCTATTGTCATTATTGTCATTGTTTGGGATACTGCATATAAGTGCCAAAAGAGTACCAAACCTAATTTAAAATATATATAAAAGTTTTTAAAAAATCAAGTAAGATTTGTCTGAAATGTTTTTGTGACATACAGATGTTCAGATGTTACTCTACTGGTATGTCACAGTGAGCATGAGGATTATCAGGGCTCCAGACTTTGACCATTTTGGTGTGTGAGTTGAAATTTCAACTAGTTGCATTCATGCCAGTGTACGACAATCACTAAGGTGTTTTGGTGTCACTGTAACTGGAGCAGGCAGCTACTGTGTTGAGGCACAAGGCAAAAATGTTGACTGTGACGAATATGAAACACAATAAGGTTACACTGACATGCTGAAAGAAATCAAATTAGCCATAAACAGGCAATATACATTTGCAATAAGGTGGTGTTTACGTACTAAAAGACAAATCTCTTTTCAAGAGCTAATCTGCATTCAGATAAACCATGTGACTCAGGTTTACATACAATAAAAGGGAAACACTAAAAGTACAGTACTGTGCAAAAGTCTTAGGCCATCATTGGGATTGTTGTTTTGGTAATAATACAATCAATATTTAATAATACTTCAATATTTTTTTCTCAGTCTTTGTATCAGGATACAACCAGAATGTACAGGAAATATGTAGACAGTAAAAAACACACTGAACAAAATGGCTGCTGAAGACTAAAGTCAGTGTTACATGAAACACATTTTCATAATTTCGCATAAGGCCACTGTCAAAGCCAAAGACAAAAACAAAATGGATACTCAACATGTGGTATTCAGGCTACAATAAAGAGATCTGAAAAATCTAGAGAGAAGAAGGACAAAGTGTCAGAAGAGTTTAAGTATCTTTAAGAGAGACAAGAAAAAGTCTCGCAAAGAAACTGCTCAGAATCTGGAAGCGTTATCTGGAGGCCAAAGTCTGAACTTCTACAGTCTGGAAAAGTCTGATGAGGAATGACCTCTGTGGAAGAGGAGCAGCCAAGAACGCTTTTTTTTTTTCCTAAGGGGGAGCATGGCTGAAAAGCTGAAGTATACAAAAGCTCACAGCAATTGGAGTAAACATCAATGGATTCTGCGGAGTAATTGATCAGTGTAAAATGTTCTTGTTGCATCCTCCACAATATGGGAGAAGAGTTGGAGAGATGTACAGGGAAGAGTCCTTACAGCCTTCAATGAAACATGGTAGAGGGTCTGTCAGGGTTTGGAGCTGCATTTCTGTTGGGAATATTGTCTGAATTCATGGAATAATAAATGCTAAAAAAGTACAGACAAATGTTGATTTATCATCCTTTTGAAAATATTGGAAACAGGTTTTTCAGCTTGACAATGATCACAGACACACTGCTGATGTAATACAAGAGAATTCAAGATGGAAGATCAAACTTGACATTGACTTTAACATGTAGAAGCTATTTTGTTAAGATGTTATATGTGTATGTTTGTATTTTTAATAAAGTTTTGAATTCCCTGTATTTTCTTGTTGTACCTAAATCGACTGAGAGAGAAATTAATATGTACAGTCAAAACAACGTCGCTCAAACAACAAACCCAATGCACAACAATGTACACACATATTTAAAAAGCTTCCTGAAAAATATGGTTTCACTTTTAAGTTTAACAAGAACCACGCAACATAAAACAGCCACAAAAAATGACACACTTATAAATATACGTCCATATTTTTAATGGTCGAATTAAAATAATGTCATCTAAATGGCAAGTTCTGCTTGCTATCACGCAACATTTTAAGTATTACTATAGTTTTAAATTAGCCAGTCAGCGGACAGCAAAGTTCGTATCAACTTAAAGCAAGTAAACATAATGAGCTACTGTTCTCCTGTATTGTTGTTTTAGATCAAATAACTTAATGAGAGTAAAGACAGTCGCTATAATGAAGGACAATTGAAAATAAATTCCGCATACATTCAAGTTTCTTCTGTTTTGTTACTGAACTAACATGGCTTCAAGAAATTAATGTCCTCGTCGCGGTGTAAACTTAGACAACAGACAGGCGACAGCTGGACCAGTTAACGTGTTAAATGTATATTTCTTACCTTTAGTCTTCTCCTGAATGTGCGAGGTGGTAATTTTTGCTCTCCTAATGCTTTCGGCTGACTTCAGCAGACTGTAGATTTCACTTCAATTCCTGTTTTCCAAAATATAGCGCTGAGAATATAGTCGAAACTTCAACTAAATTGAATTACATTTAAAAATTAAAAATATTTTTTTTAAAAAAACGGGAAAAGGTGTAGGGTGTCGAAATTTATTTTATGAAAGCGTCGCAAAAAATACCACGCTTTCTTGTTTCCTTAAAGTTTGGTAAACTAAAAGTTGTTTTTCCTGAGTCTGACAAGCGCATGCGCAGGAAGTCATAGCGGTAGACGGTGGGCATGCGCACTTCACAAAGCAATGCCTGGAATTTGAGTAGGTTGTGATCATCTGGAACCGACAACAGGGTCTCCATTGAAGATATTAAACCATCTGACAAAGAATATATTGACAGAGCGAGAATGTAATTAAATTTCCCTGTTCGTGCCTCTCCCCTTCCTGACAAGTGAGTTCATAAGTTTAATTTAACATCCCAGCAAACAGAAGCCATGACAGTAAGTTTTTGTAGAATTTTACAAGAAAGTCGCAGTTAGTTGTAAACACAGTTTAGAAAACAGGAACGTTCACCTGTTTGCGGGAAAACATTTATACTTTTACAGCAATTAACGTAAACAATTTCTCTGCAACAGAAACAAGTTTTTCCAGGCTTGTAGGTACAGCCCTGATTTCACTCCGTGTTAAAGTCTTAAAATACTTCACCCAAGCATACATAAATATGAAAACAAACATGACATTTCCATTTCAGGCACAGTAATGCAGACGAGAAAGGTGGTTTATTGACGTATGACGTAACGTGGCCCCGCCCCGTTGGGTGGGGCTTGGTGACGTGTCAGGACACGGGGAGGACCCTGTCGCACCGATAAACAACTTCTAGATCAAAACAATCTTGGAGGAACAGCAAGGTGACAGGATCTTTTCTGTGCAAGAAAAACAGCATTTTAATCGGGTTGGGTAAGTGAAAATGCTAATGTAAACGCATCTCTGAGCACCATTAACATTATACGCCTTGGATGTCAGGTCTTTGTTCTCTTCCTAGAACCAAACAACAGGCTGCACAGAGCCTCTGTCTGCTGATTAGAAAAAAACAAAAACAAAACATCGGTATTGTTTTATAGCAGGACTACGTTGTTAATTTAGAGAAACTCAGCCTTCTCTGAGGTACAGCTAGTTGCAGTCAGCTGTTTTGAACTGTGTGTTGATTATAAACCTTCTGAGGTTATGTCATCACAGGGTTGGTGCATTAGTGTGGGTGAGGAGACTACAGTATCTGTGAGTGTTTATAGGAAGGGCTTCGGTGAAATTAGATCCACAGACAGACTAGCAGGCAGGAAGGAATCCAGACACTGGAGGGAATTTCTGTCAACAACAACAACAACAAAGTGCACTTGTACATGTTATATATGATAATATGTCAGATCCATAATATGTTTTGGGATAGGATAATCATAAAATCTGACAATTAAAATGTGTTTTAGGAAGATTTAAAAAAAAAAAAAAAAAAGTTGTTCCTTCAATGTACACAAAAGTGAGTACACCCCTGTGTAATATTACTTAGATATCAAATTATTCACAATTGTAACCCTTTTGTATTATTTCTAAGTTAACATTGTATTTCCTCTTATTGATGATGAAAAACAAATACTTTAGGAAGAGTATACTGAAAATACAAGCCCCAAAACAGAAACTTAATACACCTGTGATCAATCAGCGGAAACACATTTGCAACAGTAGTCAAGAGGTATAGAAGGAGCCATAGTACCACTAATCAGTATTGCAGTGGTTATCCTCTTAAAATGACACCACAGACAGTACGTGGACCATCTATTTCTGAAAAACAGACAGGCAGATACTTCAAACTTGCCACAGGGGTTATCAGTGGGAACCAAAGTTTCTGTGACAGTTCATACAGTGAAGAGCATTGCATAACAGCAACCTGCATGGACATCATCCAACAAAATAAGCCTCGCCTTCTCTTTGGCATGACCTTGCAAGATTGAAATTTGCTGAAAAATATGAAAAGAAGCTTAATGAATATTGAGAAAACATTCTTTGGCCAAATGAGACCAAGGTAAATTCATTCATGGCCAAGACTACCACAGTGAATGCATAGTCCTGACAGTGCAGCATGGAGGTGGGAGTGTGATGATAGGGGACTGCATGAGATGATATTTATAGATGGTGTCACGACTATGTGTGGATATACCAACATACTGAGATGATGACTCCAAGTCTAAAGGCGCTTGGCAGAAGAGGAATAGCCCAGCCAATATTCTATTGAATCCAATAGAACACCTGTGTAACATCTCAAAGACAAAAGTAAAACACCACAACCCCTCCAGCAGAAAAACACCCAGAAAAAACACGTCTGAGGAACGGCAGGACATACCAGACATTTGTGCAACACTGGTGTCTTCCATGCTGAGAAAGATTGAGTATGTTGCCAAAAATAAAGGTGGACATACAAAGCATTGGAAAAAATAACAGTAGAAAAATTTGCATCTTGACATTTGTTGCATTGGTTTTCTAGTATAATGTCTATGTAAACAACTACAACAAGATGATATGATTTTAAATCCTTTCACATTGAAGTGATATTGCACAGGGTTGTACTCACTTCTGTTGCACACTGTTCATTAAATCCTCAAATGCTGTGCTGGATAACAAGGTGAGGTAAATCTCTTAAAAAAAACACTTCTTTAACTTATTATGACATTAGAATCCATTTATTTTATTGTCATTCAGAAGTAGAAATTATGCTTTACAATACTTACAAATAATATTAAGAGATTAAAATATCTTTGCACAAGAACGGCTTGGGAACCCAATGCTAGAATATGAAGGCAAATCAGGAATCTGGTCGGTGTAAAAGGCAGGTTAACGTAATCAATTGCAGTCAGAAGTAACTCATAAAATTGACGTCTTATCCTCATGGAAGGAATCTAGACCAACGTCACACATAATATAGTATCTTTGTGATCAGAGTAATTTCAGTCTCTTGTTTTGTTGTGTTCCCTCAGCTGTTACATAGTGACTCCATGACCCCATGTCGCAGCAACGCAACAGGCTGCTCAGGTTTCTGAACTGGCGTAATGGAAGCAGTTGTTGATACAGAGCAGACATTATGAGAGACAGGTCTTTGGGGCGTGAACTGTGACAGCCTCACGAGGGAACTGTTTACACTGTTAATTTGCTAGTTGTACAAGCACGGAGGAAATCTGGGTTCGTGACTGCTTCTTTGATATTATTTGTAATTCACCTTCCTGCTGTTGTTGATTTGCAGACTGCAACAGAGGCCTAATGATGATTGGAAAGATCCTCTCTCATCTGCTTGGGAACGCTGGCGAGGACTTTGATGCTGCAGACAATACTTATGATAAACTAATGGAGACTGAGGAGGGGGGATGGGTCATTGTTAATCTCACAGGTGAGAGACAATCCCTGCTAGAGGTACTGCTACATGATGTTTACACCTAAATCATTTAAATTGTTTTTGGTTATAATGGGATGAAAACTGATCAATCTGAACTCATGCAGAGGACGAACCTGGATCTGCCCCTGATGTGGATCCTCTTGAGAACCTGCTGATTGAACATCCCAGCATGTCTGTCTACCAGATGAGAAGCAGGATGAGCGGAGCTGAGGAGGAGGAGGAGGAGGAGGAGGAGCCGGTCTCTGATGCAGATGACGAAGATACCTCGAGGTGACTTTTTGTCTCACGTTTGATTTTGAGCCTAACATGAATTAGCACTGATCAGGTCCCACAACTTCCAGTTCCATTGCCAGGGTCTTCCTGCCTCCTGTCAAACCATGCAGCATATTAATAACAACATTAATATTCAGTTCGCTCATTGTGTCCTCTATGAGGATTCCCGCAGTCAGCCCAAAATTTCTAACCACAAGACCGTCTGCACTGCACGCTTCCCATGCATGAGAAAAGTAAAGTGAATGCTTGTTCATGCATGTTTGCATTTATTCCCATCCTTGGTCCTATGCAGGTAAACAGGTAGCATGCAGCTTTCAAAAACAAAGAGAGAAGCTTTTTTGATGATAAGAGGTCGCCATAATGGTTTCTAGCACACACATTGTCTGAACAGCAAGTAAAAAAGCAGTCACTCTGTCTTTTGCTGTCCCCATTTCACACCTTTTCATTGATTATAGCTTTTGTGGTCTTGCAGTATTGAGCCTAAACTTGCCGCTCAGTGTACAGTGATGTAGTACAGTTTTTCCAAAGACAACATCCAAGATGACTTGATGACTATTCAACACATGATTTGTATCGTCAACATTTGGAGGGTTCAGCTTCCATTGTTTGTCACCTAACTTTCTATCTGTTGTCAGTTTTTTCCGCTGCCTGGACCAGTGCCTGTAAATAAGAGAACTTTTGCTTGAAGGATTTCTCCTTCCTCTCTTTCCACATGTCCATCAGCTCGAGTACGAGGATGTTCCCTGTGCTTTTGGACAAAGCTAGTGAATTATGTGGGGCAAGATAAATAATCTTCTAAGATTTCCTCTCAGCTCCCTGTTTGTTACTGCTCCAAGCAAGCCACTATCATGGGTGCCAACCAGTCTGTCCCTGGATGCAAAGAATGCCAGTCCCTTTTGTTTCATTCAATTGTTTTTAACTGCATCCTCCAATGGTGATGCCGATACTGTCAGGACTTTCCTGTCCCTCCATGTCTACCTTCACTCTGAGTGCTTTCTTATACGATGATGTGTTCCAGAGGGGCTCGTTGTTCTGTGAGGTGTGAGTCTTGTTTTAATTCTCACAGGACAAGCTTTTGTTAGACTTGGGTGTAGGTCATAGATTAGGATAAACTAAAATCTGGTGGCCTCCGTAGTGTGCATCTAAGCCTACAGAACCTTTCTGTCACCCTCCCAGTGTGTCTGCTTGCCTTGTTTTCTCACCCTGCTTTCTTGGGTTTGTCTCCCCTACTCTGCCATCTGTCTGATTTCTTTCTGGATGAGTTTCCTTCTCTCCTGCGAGTTTGCTCTACTCCACTACAACTGTGTCACTCAGCCAAAGCCCTGGCATCCTGCTGCTACTGCTCATACAATGTTTTTGTGCCTTATGGCGCAGCCTAGACTACAGGTGGTAGAGCAAGTTATCTGCTAATCACAAGGTTTGCGGTTCAGTCTTTAGCCCCTCCATGTGTCCTTAGGAAAGACACTGAAATTCAAGTTGTAGAAACACATTGTAAAGCACTTCCTAGAACATAGCTAAGGTAAAGGGTGCTATATAAGTGGGGGCCATTCACCATTAGTGCAGATCTTGATTCCAAATTTAATGTTTTCATGAAGGTAGCTCACCTGACAGAGCAAATACACAATGTACTACTAAAGCTGAGTCCTTACTGCAGCGGCCTGAGTTTGTCAGAATCTTTGGATGAATGTAATTCTCTCTCTCATTTTTTTGTGTGTCTCGTCAGCTGTCCTCCATAGTACTGGCAAAAAGCCTGAAAAAAAATCTATAAAAAATAAAATCACATCCTGCTTTGTATTTCTTTGGCAGACGACTCTTTTCAGACTCTGCTTTATTGTTCTTTCTTACTCTCTGTAGTGAGTCATGTGGAAATCATTCCCATACACTTTTGTCAGGTTCCATCAGCAGTGTTTTGGTTAGTTGTGGTTTTACTGGGTGGTTGTTTGCTCGACTGAAGCACTCCATCAGGAACTCGTCTGACATATAAGTCAAACAACTTCTTGTTTTTGCTATTTGGTTAATCAATGGATTAAACACAATGTAATTAATTAGTCAGCTTCAGTGGTGCTGGTAGGTATTTTTTTTTTCTAATCTTTGAGCAAAGCCAGGCTAGTCGTTTCCCTTTTCTCCAGCCCTAAGCTGCAGCTGTCAGCTGACATTAGCTTCATATTTGATAAACAGACACGACCGCTTCATTAATCTTCTTTCCTCTCATTGGGACCAAATGAGCACTTCCTTCCAAATGTGGCACTATATAAGGTCAAGAATGAAACATCACGCTTCAAAAACAGCTTTACCCCACATAGGCCACTTTGCAGATGGCTGAAAGGGGGAAACACAAAGATCAAGACTATTTTCATCCTCATGCTGACATAAATGTAACATGAGATTTATCCTAAAATGAAATGTTGACCATCCAGATCTTTGCAGGAGAGTCCTCACATTTCTAAATCAAAATCCTAACTTGGCTTTCACAAGAACAGATAAGCCACAACATTGGCACAGAACTGCTGCACAGTAACCCTTTATCTCTCATTTTGTGTTACTGCATAATATCAAAGAGTTCACTAACATGTACTGCAACACATTGTGTCTGTCCAGGCCAGTGGCAGTGAGACGACACATATCCTGGCGCCTTGCTGCCTGGGGGATCCCTCTGCCGTGCACCGTCCAGCTGCTGGCTGTCCAGAGGGCCAGGACCCAGACTGAGCGGAAGAAGCTGAGCCGCAGCGCTCTCCACAGGCAGAACCTGGCCAAGACGCGATTCTCCCTGGGAGAGAGACGCTACGGCCACTTCAAGCAGCCCGCCCAGCGCCTGTACAACTACTGAGGAGGAGCGATGACAGTTCTTTTGAGAGGGTGTGTGTGTGTGAAGTTGCCTCCATCACAGCACAGTGCCTTGGCCCTGAATTACTCAGGTCATTGCTTCACCTCACACTCAAATTGTGCACAACCACCAAGGCAAAGCATGTGAGATTTGTAATTTGCTGTCCAGTGAAATGATCAAACATGAGCCAAATGAACCACAGACACAAAAGTTTTTTGTTTTTTCTTTAATTTAGACTTTAATATTGGCAACCTGCACTGCAACCCTCACGTCTGAAACCACTGAGAACAATAAACCTCAAACGCCTGACCATGAAAAAACCCAGCTGGTGCCCTAAGTTGAAAAGCATTTCTAAGAAAAGGTTACTTTTCAAATACATGTTGATAATGTAAACTATTAAGCGAGAAATTAGTTGTTTGGCTTGAGTAGACTGATTTGAGTAGCGGCAGGGCTCACAGGAAGGTGAAGGTGTGTGAACGTTACTGTAACGGTGCTGTTGCTATCCGCGTGTAATACTGCTCCAAATGTGAAAAACACAAACCTGGAGAAAATTTGCTCTAAATAATGATGTAAGTGGATTATGGCACATTGTGATTGGCTGTTCCTTGATTGTATTTAGCGTGTGGCTTAGCTTTCTCTGTTTTTCTGCCAAATGTATTCAGAGTTAATTTCATGACATGTTGAACTGTACAGTATTCATGTTGTGTGACAACCAAAAAAAAAAACAAACAAAAACTCAGTGAATTTGCTCAGATAAATGTCGCTTTTGTTCCACAACTTATGGAATAATTACTTTTGTACTTTTTATCAGGTTCTCAATTTTTCATGTTACTCAAACTGTTTGGAATATAAATATGTTTTTTCTATTTGTGTGTATTTATAAAATGTACAAAAAATACAAATAAAACTTGTTTTCTTAAGCTGGTGGCTTCGTGTCTTTAATGTGGCAGAACAAAAAGTAGATGGTCAAACACGTTTAAGGCCTCAGAGGGGTGACAGAAAAGCTTCACTTTCATTTTCGAAGGTCACGTATCTTTTCCATGAACCTCTTCACTTGGTCTGGGTCAACTTCATTGGCCCAGTGGCCGCCATACTTAAAATGAGAACCGATGATCATTCCATTTGCGTCGAGGTAGAGTTCAATGTTGTCATAGGTCACTCCTGAACCAATAAGCACTGGGATTTTCACAGACTGGGTCACTTCTGCAAAAGCAAAATAAATAAATAAGCAGCACAAAAGGGACAAGCAGAGCATTTAAAAGTACTCAGTTTAAGGCTTAATAAATAAGACTTCTTTAAATAATAAATATGAATTTGAATATCTAGAAAAACATAAAGGACAAATATACAGTGTAATGTTTGCAATATGTGACTTTAAAAAAAAAACAAAAAAACAGAAATCTATTTCCATTTTAATCTTTAAATATGCAACTGAAACAGTGGTATCAGCAAAGCCAGAAAAAATTCCATCCATCCATTATCTGTACACCACTTAATACCCGCCAGGGTGACGGGGGGCTCGAGCCTATCCCAGCTGACTTAGGGTGAAGGCAGGGGACGCCCTGGACAGGTCCCCAGTCTATCACAGGACCACACTTAGAGACAGACAACCAAGCACACTCACATTCAAACCTACTGACAATTTAGAATCACCAACTAACCTTAACATGTTTTTGGACTGTGGGAGAAAGCCGGAAAACCCAGAGAGAACCCAAATTGCATGGGGAGAACATCCAAACTTCACGCAGAAAGATCTCGGTGTCCTCACTAGGACGCAAACCAACGACCTTCTAGCTGCGAGACAACGATGCTAACCACTGATCCACCTTGCAGCCTCCAGAAAAAAATATTATTATTATTATTTCTTTAATTTTCATTGGTCTGTTGGTTGCTGTTGTTTTATTAGATGGACAGGAGTTAAATTATAGTAAGTATTTTTTCATGTTCCCAAAATAATTACTGCTCCAGTTTCCTCCACTCAGCTATAGTGCATGTGCAGAAAACAGCCATTACCCCTTTATGCCACAAGAGGGAGCGTAGCATACTCTGAAGTGTAGCTTCTGTTTGGCGTAAACAAAGGCAAGGCTCATTCATTGTGGTGTAGGGCTCTGAAAACGTACAAACCTGTTCCAAAACAGCCAATGTCTACGTGTTTAGTAGAAGTAAAGGAAGAAAATAACAATTCACACTGAGCCTTCATGTGTGCAGCAGAGAGACAGGTTACGTCTTCTACACAGTTCTTTCAATATTGACGTAAACTAAAGATGAACCGCATTAGTGTAGTATCCATATTTGTATGTAGCCAAACTTGATCATTAACATATCTAACATAATATCTTACAGTCATTTGTTACTTTCTTGCATCATTTCCAGACATCCATCTATCCATTATCTATACACCGCTTAATCCTCACTAGGGTTCACCAGTCTATCACAGGGCTACACTTAGAGACAGACAACCAAGCACACCTACAGAAAATGTATAATTACCAGTGAACCTCAACATGTTTTTGGACTGTGTGGGAGGAAGCTGGAGAACCCGGAGAGAACCCACGCTGCACGGGGAGAACATGCAAACTCAATGTCCTCAATGGGACGCGAACCGGCGACCTTCTAGCTGCGAGGCAACAGTGCTAACCACCGAGCCACCTTACAGCCCCATTTCCAGCCAACGTAAACCAAATCAATTTAAATCAAACTCTGGCATAACTATGAATAATGTTGGGCTTAACTGTAAATGATTGCATCTTAAAATCTCCTGTTCTGAAAATCCACACACAAAAATGTGCTAACCTCCAACTGATGTTACAGATATACCATTGCAAGGCCTGTTCATGAATCCTACTATTAATGGATGTCCCTCTTTAATGCTGAGAGGCTAAGACATGTGAGGCTTTGATACATACACCCAGTGAACTTTGGACAGAGTAAAGGCCGACCTCCACACTGGCATGTGAGTTCTAGTATCGTTCTGTCTGACCAGTGCCAGCATGTTTTGTGCACATGACTGTGAGGAACACAGTCACAAGTGTGTGTATATTTGTTCTTGTGTATCATCACACTCACATATATAAAACCTGGACGATGTGACTGTTTCGTTTCCAGCTGAGTGTCTACAGTATTGTATGTCAAGTTGGAGACTCTGCTTAAAATAGCAGCACTGGTGTTGCTACGAGAGGGACATAGTGCAGATCTGACCCCAATAATCCTCAGCAGACACAAACCTTCTTGGCCAATGATGGAGTAAGTAAAATTCATGCATTTCCTTTTTTAAAATTAGTCAAAGTATTTAAGCATTAACATGCATGCACTTATTAGACAAGTTGGTCCCATTCAGACATGAACTCCTTCCTGCTAATCCAACAGCATCTGAACTAGTTGGCTTCGTGTCACCACACTTTTCAGGAAAAGTTCCAACGGAAATCATACTAGGATGGACCTTGTAACAGTTTCTTATCACTTTCGACACAGCACAAGTCTGAACAGATGCAATAATGGATAGGAATACAGATTACAACAAACTTTGAGTTGTGTGAGGCAACTGGGGAAAGGGGTTTTCCACATGTCAGCACCAATGTTTGTCCAGAAATATCACAGAGAGCACCAACGACACAGCTTGCTGCCAAAATCACAAACCATCTTTCCCATTCAATTTCAAATCTATTACAAACTGAAATGACCATATCAGTACAACTTAACTGTGATGAAGACATAACAGGTGACTCATCAGTAATGAATGTTATCTGGGTTTTCACAAAACCTTAACAGGAGCTGGAGTTTATATTCTAATTATTTTTTCAGTTTCTTAAATTATTGCAGCATCAGACAACAGCAGGATGTTTATTTTTTAATCTTACAGTGTGTAAAGTAGTAGTTATAATTTTATCACATAGGGACAAAGTTTTCTGAGTTGAACCAAGCAGGCCCTTAGTTACAGGGATTGGTTGATAAGCTCCTATTGGTTCTGATTTGGTCTTCAGTTTGTAAATACATTATTATGTATTATACATCACTTGATGTTCTGTGAAATCTCGTGTGTATGACCAATATTGTGTGTGTGTGTGTGTGTGTTTGTTTATGTGTGTGAGACTGAGTTGATGAGGACAGTCCGACTGCACCAAAAAGTTATGAGACATAAAACCAAAACAGGCAAAATGATCTGAAAGAGGCTAAAAAGCTCTGTAGGGTTGAGATGAACTTCAAGCATGGGTGATAATTCTCTTCCATTTGCATAACACAAGCGACACCATTCACACTGCATAGCAACATTCATTTTTTTCATTGTTAATATATACATATATATTTTTTCTATTTCAGATATTTGAGCTATAATGTAATGTAAATATGAATCGTCTGGCCACAACCTGGGGATACTAAGAAAGGTCAGAGTGGAGGTAAGTCTGGTTTTACTCCTGCTGCTGCTGGACAGAAAGAGAAGATAGTATACTTATTGATCAAGGATCAGAGAGTTTATTCAGGAAGATCTGTGCAGTCCAGTCACAACTTTCCCCATAAAAACTCTATAACCTTTAGATTTGTCAAAACCACAGAAGTAGAATAAGATCAGACGATATGAACATTACTGGCAACTAATCAGCAGCAGACTGAAACTGTGGACTCACTCATCGCAGCAAACACTTCAAACACTGGAAGACAACTTTGAATATGGTCAGTTGCATTAACTTTTGCTTGAAAAGTTGCATGAAAGAAAGAAAAACCCACAACGATCACTGAAATAACTTGACACTGACAAGAGTAATAATAAATACAAATTTTAGAAAAATGAGCTGATGAAAATGATTGTTGAGCCAAAATTCAAAAGCAATGTCAAATCAATTTTCACTTGTTAATTAAAAAAAATAAAATAAAATAAAAATGTATTCTTACTTTTGTCAGTATCAGCTTATTTTGGTGACTTTTACTGGTTTTTCTTTCCTTAATGGAAGGGTACCAACAATTTTGTCCATGGTCTTACTCTCAGTCTCTCACACCCAAACAGGAAAACACAAAATCTATCCTGTTTATTGCTGTAAATTATCCACCTGCTCCTTACTAAGACTTTTGATCTTAAATCTCTGATTTTTTTGCGACTTAGAGTGGGCTGATAGCAATCACAGTATGTTCTGTTGCGTATTTATTAAATTTCCATATAATTTTTGTTGCACACCTAATTCTATACACTTAGAGTTACAAACTTGCTGTCAACCTTTATGCATGATTAAAGGATGTGTGCTTTGAATTTTAGTGCTGACATTGGCAATGGTTGATTGTATTTAATTTTTATTTTTTTGAAAAGCAGAGTATGGATGTACAATGTGTGTGTGTGTGTGTGTGTGAGTGTATAACTCTATATAAGGAGTGTTAACGTGTGCTGTGTCACTGCACAAGGATTTCAACAATTATTGTGCATGCAGTGTAGTTCTGCTTGTTTCTAGATTAACCTCACATCCAGTCATAATTAAGGCTGTAAATAAGTGGCACCTTCACAAATGTTAATTCTATTGTATCTGCATTTGCGTCAACTAGAATACTGGGAATAACTGTCCTCCACAACTCCCAAGAGAAGGAGTGCATTTGTCCACTTCTAAGGGGATAGAGAGTGAGTAAAATGTACACTGTGTTTATAGGGGAGCTGGTCATAACTAGTAAGTCAGCAAGTAATCTGTCAGGTTCACTGATTTCTCTGTTAGAAGGCAATACATTCTCACCTAAAGGAGTACAGAGTTTAGACCAATCAGTGCTCATTGACACTTTACTGTATATGGTGTATATGACAGAGAGAGAAAAAGTCAGTGTTAGATATTCACTCTCACTGCCATATTGGCTGACACTGTCCAGGCCACTAGAGGACACTGAATACTGCTCCATTACTGGATATCAAAACAGTAAGGGTGTCCTCTGCTGGACAAAAGAAGAAAGGCCGAACGAAAAATGAATGACTTTGTAAATCTATTTTCAAAAGTGTGAAGTTGTGCATGGCCAAAGCAAACATTCATTGCCAAACAATATGACTCCTGGCTGCATGAAGCGTGGTGTTTTTGTCACAGTACCTCTGAGCTCGTGTGGGTCAGCCTGCACTCCAGTGGCTGTTCCTGTGATGATGAGTCCGTCCGAGAGGAAGAACTGGGCTGCACGGGCCGTCTCTTCAATGGTCATGTCTGATGTGAGGGCATGGGAGCTGGGAACACCCACATACAGTATGCACACAAAGGCATGTTAAAACAGTAAAATCAGTTGTGGATACAGTTCTGACTAACCTGTGATATAATACAAATTTAACTATCAATAAAAAATTGCCGTAAAAATAGGATGAAGAAACACCAGAAGGGTGTCAATTCCTCAGACTCTCATTACACATTTTAATCACAATAAAATGTTTGAGTACACTGTGAGTGCTAGCTCTTTGGGAACATTCCCTGATGACACAAGTGAGTTAGTAACCTTTGTCTAACAATCAGTACTGAGGCTATGCTGTTCTGAGCTTGTCAAACATTAAAATGCTGTTATCAAGCATCTCTCTCTGACAGCACAGTGTATGAGAAATCTTAATGATCTTTGTTTCATACGTCATAAACTTGCCAACTGAATAGAACACAGTCGTTTTCAGTGTTACGAGTCACACCCCGACTGGAATCAAACCAGGGCTGTTGAGGGTACTTAAACAGTCAGTGTGAAACTTCTGTCTTCCCATTCCACAAACACTGTGGATGTGTTATTACATATACCTTGCCCTTTATGCTTTTTGTATTTATTTCTTTTAACACTGTAAACCTTCCCCTGAACAGTGAATTTTGTTTTCATTGGGAGCATCAGAAACTTTTCCTGGACACTTCCTAGGTTTAGGGCCTCTATACTCCTAGTTGCTGTAGCCTATTTACGCCTTCGTCGCTGCAGTGGCTTCAATTTTTGGTTCTGCCAAACAGTTATTGCTGATTAACACGTCTGTATCAGTGTGACAGCATGGGAATCTCACCACAGACACTGGATTTTAAACTCCAGGATAGTGCAAAATACAGATATTTGTTTTTGCTTTGAATGTAACAGATGGGGCTGCAAGGTGGCTCGGTGGTTTGCATTGTTGCCTCGCAGCAAGAAGGTCGCCGGTTCATGTCCCAGTGAGGAAACCCAGGATCTTTCTGCGTGGAGTTTGCATGTTCTCCCCGTGCAGCGTGGGTTCTCTCCGGGTTCTCCGGCTTCCTCCCACACAGTCCAAAAACATGCTGAGGTTAATTGGTGATTCTAAATTGTCCGTAGGTGTGAGTGTGAGTGTACTTGGTTGTCTGTCTCTAAGTGTAGCCCTGTGATAGACTGGTGACCTGTCCAGGGTGTCCCCTGCCTTCACCCTAAGTCAGCTGGGATAGACTCCAGCCCCCCGCGACCCTAGTGAGGATTAAGTGTTGTATAGATAATGGATGGATGGATGGATACAACAGATGCTCGTTTATATGTAATAGTCCTGTACTTTAGCTTTAAATACAATATTTTTTAAGTCTAAAATGGTAAACAAGATTTAATCGTATCACAGATAGAATGTTAGCCAATGCTATAATGTAAATTAATCTTTCATCTTAAGTTGGAAGTTTGTCTTTCAAGGAGTTTCCCAGAGCAAAATTCGTCCCTTAACAACAGTCTTTTCTTATTCTCATCTTCCTATTGGCAAATTAATGCATTCCGTTCTTTTTCTCTGTTTCTCCTCCACATTTACTGTCGCTAGACAGCCTCACATTAAGAACATCACCACAGCTGCATAGAAATCATCACGTCACAAAGAAAATTAACAAAACTAGTGAAGTTCCAACTGTCAGAGGAAAATTTTACTTTAGCAAATGTAGACACCACAGTCAGTGGCATCTACCAATGGATTCAAACTCAACGATGCATGCCTTGGATCTCCAACAACCCACCTGCCATGTTTAGAGTAGATTGGATTTACTGCTGGTGAAATATGCAAAGGGCAGACACACACACACACACACACACAGAAAGAGAGAGGGAGAGAGAGAGAGAGAGAGAGATTCCTTCCTTTATTAGTTAGAGTTGTGCCAAATCAATGACAAACTAGAAATTGTATGTAGATCCTAGAAGTGAAACAAGTGTTAAAATACACAGAGTTAAGATTTGAACTTGACCACTGAGACACATTTTTGATTTCGTGCAGGCTCATAAACAAGACACTCAAGTTTTCTTTTGGATTTAATCAAGAGCTGATAATTTCAGACAATAAAGACCAGTGCAGTGAGAAAGAAAAGAGAGCATTTTAAGAACCTAAAATGGGATCATGCTGAGAAAAGAGGAAGGCTATCTCTCAGGAGTCAAATGTAAGAAGTGTGAGAAAATGATGAAAATCTCATAGTGATGTTAAATGCACTCATTATGTCTTGGAGAAACAGGCTGGACAAACAAGAGATTCTGAAATGTTCTGTTCTCATAGGCCTCATTGTTATTTAAATTAGTGAGTAGTGAGTCCTGCCATTGGTAAATGTCAGCATTATTAGAGAAAATGTGGTTCTAGTGAACCTTCACAGCTGTATTCAGAGACAGAAAGCTTAAAATAAGCTTAAAATAAGCTTTCAGGTTTTTTTTGCATATCAGCAGCTTATCGGTTGACCTCACTAATCAAATTGTACAGATGGTGACCTCACCTGTGCTTCTTTTTGATGTCGGTGAAGATCTGCACATGGTCAGCTCCAATCTGCTTGCGATATCGTAGTAAGTCCCCGGCGCAGGCATTGAGGAGACCCTCATCCGCCACGTGAGAAAAGACAAAACCCTCAGCCCTGATGAAGTCCAGACCTGTTACCATACAGTTGCATTACAATATTATAGCTGACTAACCGGTAACCACAAAATCAAGTAGAGATATGTTTCAGCTGACACACAAGTAGCTGTCCTGACTGAAGACCAAACACACATCAGCTGACTTCTCTGATAAACACAACTTACCTTAGAAATGGTGACTATACAGTGAAATCAGCTGCTGTGGTGTTTCATTGGAAATCAGTTTAAACTTCGGTCATAATAGCATGAATAAAAACCTCTGTTCTGTTCTGCATTAGAAACTTTGGATACAGATACTGTTTCATATGTAAATGAGGAACCATTTCATGTATGATTGATTGAACCTGAAGCCAGAGCTACAGCCAGTGCCTGCTGGTTAGCAGAAGATAGTATTTGCACTCCAAGTGGCAGGAATGGACAGACTCTTCTCACAGCAGTGCAGACTGCCGTCATACAGGCACACACCTCAGGACCCACGTTGAATGAGTAGGGGATATCATGCATGTTTTCAACGATCACGCCATCCTGAAAGAGGAGTTCACAAGTAATGATTATTGGCTTGTCTAGAAGAACTTTAGATAAGTAAGGAATTCAAATAATGTGCAATAACTTACAACCCCTGCATCACGGTAGATTTCTGCCTCCCGGCATGCGTCTTCAGTAATTTGGGACATGTTCAAACAACCCAGGGGGGTACCTGAGATAGATGCGTGGTAACGTACAGTATGAGATAAGAGTACATTTACTCATAGACTTCACTCAGTACACATTTAAAACACTTGATAGGAATATTTCTGTTTCATTCTTATGAAACATTTTTACAGTTTTTCCCTGACAAAGTTAAAGACATCAGGCAATTGATCACCCCACCCGATGTTCTTTTATCTTCTACTTGCGCATTTTTCAGTATTTTAGCAATTTCAGAATGGTTTCTTTATGCCACATAATCGACATAATAAATGAGATGAAACCAACCTCGTGCAGTCTCGACAGAATCCCCACAACATTTCTTAAAGAGGTTATAGACACTGTTGGGCCCAGCATTTTGTTGCTTATTAATAGTTCCCTTTTAACTGGTCACTTCCCCTCTGCTTTTAAACATGCTTTGGTCCAACCCCTTCTAAACAAACCCAACCTTGACCCTTCTGTTCTTAACAATTTTAGACCAATTTACAAACTTCCGTTTTTATTGAAAGTCTTAGAAAAAGGGGTCTCTACCCAGCTTCCAACATTTATGTGTTATAATGACAGCTTTGAAAAATTTCAATCAGGTTTTAGAGCTCTTTATAGCACAGAAACTGCCTCTTCAAGGCTACAAATGACCTACTTCTAGCTGCTGACAGAGGAGAGAGTACAATTTTAATTCTTTTAGACCTAAGTGCCGCCTTTGACACAGTCGACCATTTTAACCGACCATCTTAGATACTGCGTTGGTGTCAGAGATACTGCCCTTTCGGTCACCATAGGTAATCACTTCTCCTCCTCAGCTCCTATTACTTGTGGTGTTCCGCAAGGTTCAATTTTAGGTCCAAGTTTATTCTCTATTTATATACTCCCGCTCGATCAAATGATCACGCATCACAACATTTCTTTTTACTGCCATGCGGACGACACACAGATATACCTCCCGCTGAGACCTGCTGAAAACCTAGCTGCTGTTTTTAACTGTTTAAACAATATAAACTGTTGGATGGCACAACACTTCTTACAATTAAACAACTCCAAATCTGAAATCATACTTTTCAACCCTCTAAATCTCCACAACAGCCTCACCGCCAACATCCTCTGTCCACTATCCACAAACATAAAGCCTGTCGCCAGAAATCTAGGCATCCTATTTGACTCTGACCTGAGTTTCACCACATCAACAAAGTCATCCAGTCCTGCTTCCTCCAGATAAGAACCATTTCTAAAATCAAATCAATCTTCCCTCAGTCAGATCCTGAAAAAAATCATCCATGTCCTCATTTTTTCCATCTTGATGACTGTAACTCCCTTATATCTGGCATTCCACAGAAATCCCTCTTCCACCTCCAACTTGTCCAGAACGCAGCAGCTAGGCTTCTTACTGGTTTTAACAGATTGCATCACATCTCCCCTATTCTGCCTTCTCTTCACTGGCTCCCTGTCCATTTTAGAATTGTTTTCAAGATATTACTGATCACTTTTAAAGCTCGCCAAGGCCTTGACCCTGGCTATATTCTAGACATGCTCACTCCGTACATCCCTGCGCGCAGCCTTAGATCCTAGGGTGGGTCCCTCCTCATCGTCGCAAAGTCAAGGCTTAAATCCAAGGGTGACTGGGCCTTCTCTGTCTGGGCCCTTTGGCTTTGGAAAGACCTGCCTGAGGAGATAAGGCTCGCTGAATCAGTAACTTCTTTTAAATCACTTCTTAAAATCCGCTTTTATAGACTCGCCTTCAAGTAAAGTTCTCTTTTATTTCTCTTTTATCACCCTCTGCCCTTCTATCCATTTTAATTTTTTTACTGCTTGGAGTTCCTCTTTCTAACCTCCTGATCCTAATCTATTTTATCTTTGATTTTCTCTTCAGCTTCTCTCTTAACCCCCTTGTGTGATGTCGTCCTTTAAACCAGTTTTAACTAGCTATCCATTCTGTACATTTACATTTTTTACAGTGTGTATTTATGTGTTTGCATGCACTTTTTATTTATTATTTTGTTTTTACCTGTGTTTGCCCTGTCCTGCCTAATATTTTACCTGTATTTTATGTTCTGCCTATCAAAGCACTTTGTGAATTGTTGTTCTTAAAGGTGCTGTACAAACAAAGTTATTGTTATTAATATTGTTCCTCTTAATACCTCTACTCCACTAAAGTTCAGAAAAAAACATTAAATTGTTTATTCGACAATGTTAATTAGACAACTATAACAATAAATCCTAAGCAAATAACTAGTCAGGTATTTTAGAACTTGAATGTTTTCGCATAACACATTGTCAGTTTATTTAAATATGATGCATTCTTAGACATAAAATGACCCAACAGTAAAGTAGTTAAAATTGTCTGTACCTAGACCAGCAGCAAAATGGTACACATTACTTAATGGGCAATAAGCCTGACAGCATGAACATGGTACTCAAATGGCCTGTGAACACCAGTACTCTCTTAGTTTTGAAACTATGGACCGGGTCTACCTATGGCTTCATATAGAAAAGATTTACCACAGGAACTGAAAAATCTGATTGTGAGACATTCCAAAGATACAAAAGGATACAGGAAGATCCACCCATTATCTTTACAATGCTTAATCCTCACTAGGGTCCCAGGGGGCTGGAGCCTATCCAAGCTGACTTAGGGAGAAGGCAGGGGACACCCTGGACAGGTCACCAGTCTATCACAGGGCTACACTTATAGAGACAGACAACCAAGCACATTCACATTCATACCTAAGCACAATTTAGAATCACCAATTAACCTCAACATGTTTTTGGACTGTGGGAGGAAGCCGGAGAACCCGGAGAGAACCCACACTACACGGGGAGAACATGCAAACTCCACGCAGAAAGTCCTGGGTGTCCTCACCGGGACACGAACTGGCGACCTTCTTGCTGCGAGGCAACGGTGCTAACCACCGAACCGCCTTGCAGCCCCATACAGGAAGATTAGCAACCAATTGAAAATCAGTGGAAACACAGCTCCAGCAGTAATCAAATTTGCTGGATCGAGCCATAGTACCACTAATCAGAGCAGAAGTGGTCATCCTCCTAAAATGATGCCACAGAAAGTCTGCGGCTTTGACAAGCTAGCTCTGACAAACACAGAGGCAAGTGCCTTAGACTTGGCACAGGAATTATCAGTGGAAGTCAGAGTTATTGTGACAGCTCAGACAGTGTGGAACATTGTGTAATATCAGCTTCTATGTACAGCATCCAAGAACAAAAACCCTTGCTTGCTCTTTGACACAAAACTGCAAGGTGAAACTTTGCTAAAGGAAATGACAAGAAACCTAATAAACACTGTAAGAAATTCTTTGCTTAAATAGGACAAAGATTAATTTGTAAGACTCAGATTGGGTCTAGCATGTTTGGTGTAGACCTGACCAGAGTTACCACAGTGAATGCGTAGTCCTGACAGTGAAGCACAGAGGTGGGAGTGTGATGATAGGAGGCTGCATGAGTGCATGAGTGTTGGGCACAGTTAAATATGACAACATGAATGCTTGTGTGTACACATATAAACACACTGTCTGACAAGATGACTCCAAGTCTGCAGAAACTTGGCAGAAGAGGAAAATTCCAGCGTGATAATGATCCAAAGCACACTGTCAATACTACATAAGAGTTTCTACAGAGGAACAAAGTAAAAACTATGCCCTGGACAAGTATGTCACCTGACTTGATTCCAACAGAACACCTTTTGGATATTTTAACAAGAAAGATAAAGCAACACAACCCTTCCAACAAAGAGCAGCTGAAAAAAAATGGCAGAACATCTCTCCAGGAATTTTCTATCCTATATTGTAGGAAGGATTGAGCCTGTCATTAAAAATAAAGGTATGCAGTAGTTAATGAAATAAAGGAGGTAAATCTCAGTAATGAAACGTGTACTGACTTTTGTTGCATTGAGTTCATACTGTATTTTTTAATAAAGTAAAGGTAAAGGGTTAGTTTTTTATTTGACATAAGACTTAATACCCTGCTGCTCACTTTAAAAGTAATCAGATTACTGTAGGGTGCTACAATTAGGAATGACTTGAATGATTTTGCACAGGGTTGTACTCTCATCTGTTGCATATTGGATAATTTGCCAATATTTGTGCACTTTTGGTCCACATTTGATCAGTCGAGAAAGAAAACAGTAAAATCACACTCTACCTGGTAACGCTTTGACATGAATCATTCCAATAACGACAGATTTCAGACGCCCAAAAAGATCCAAAAACTTCATTGTGGTGCTTTAGTGAAGCGAGCAGAGAGCAAGCTGCTGAGCGTGGGGATCACGTGACTGGTCAAAGGTCAGTATTTTAAACAAACAAAACATGAAATAACAAACAAAAATCAGCCGGACAGTTGCTTTCTAAAGTGATATCCCCGCATTTGCAATAAATAACGCATTCAACAGCGCAACAAAAAAAGAGTTGCGTGGTTGTAGACAGCGGGATAGAAGCAGGTTTGGCAACCCGGAGTGAAATGCGCGCCGCGGCTGGAGCATCCGCGGGCTAGCTCGGTCTTTTTGTTGCTAAAAAAACATACGCGCCCACTATGACAGCGAGCGTCAAGCATGTGTGGCGTTCCTAGAGCGAAAATACTCAACGATCCCACAGTATTTCGGCCGTGGTGCGTTTTATTTCAGGCTTTTTTCTGCAGCGCCGCGGCTTTGTTTACATCTGACACACAGGCCACGCGGTGCCCGGACTCTTCCCGGTTGGAAGCTCCGCCCCCGCAGCTGTCACCGCCGCAGCCACACCTCCTGTCTGCCGGCTAAACTTTATTTTCCTATTTTTTAACCACTATTTCGACTAACTGCAGTGAATATATGCGTTCTGTGCACTCCACCGGTGGTAAAATAGTCGTGGAACGTAGTTTGAATCGGTGCATGAAGGGGCGGTGAGGTCGGGGGTTTAGCGCCAAGTTAAAGCTACTCCTCCCTGACGTTGATGCTTCCACTCATCTGTTCTGTTCAAGGCGCCAGCTCAGAGGAACTAGCCCGGCCTCGACACACACACATACACCGCAGCTCCGAGTCCCAGCTACCGCCAGTCGAGTTTTAAACACGTTTTTTATTTCCTAGACGTGGATAAGGGTGAACTTAAAGAGCAGCATCTTGAGGTGAGTGGTCGAAACTTTGTCATTGTGCCGAGTTAGCAATGTTCGGCTAGTTTCAACTTTGCTCTGCTAGCTAAGCTGACTTCAATGCTAGCTAAAGTGCAACATGCTGTAACATTGCTAACGCGGGTGAAGTTTGGGTGCTGGATGTTGCCTGTGTGCACGATGTTAGCGATGTTAAATGACATGTTGAGAAATCAGGCGTCCCTGCTGGGTCCTTCGGCCATTATGTGACAAGCCAGCTGTCCAAAGTTACTGGAGGGAAATAACGAGGTTCCTCTCACAAATACGCCATGTAACCACGTTTACCCGATTATACAGTGTGTGATGTGTGTCTCAGCCTGTTTTCGTGAATATCCCTGAATGATGAGGTACTTTTTGCCGACTTTTAACATTGCGTACTGAACCCATTTCCCCGCGCCAGGCTGAGCTGGGCTTTGTCAGGAGGAGGGAGTTGAGAGTGGGGGTTGGGACTTTATGAATGTGTTATTTTAAGTCTCCATATATAACATTTCTCATTCTTAGGTTTGCTCAGAAAGCGGCATCCACCACCTCAAGAGTATAATGCGAGGAAAACGGTGAGTTTCTGTGCAGTATTCGTGCCTCTACCAAACGCGTCAATCAAAGTGTGACGCCAGAAAGGAAAGTTGGGCTGATGGGGCTTTAGCCATCCGGCTAGTTAGCCTGTTGGTACAGGACAATACGCTTGAGCACAATATCATGTTTATCCAAGCTTGTTAGCATGTTCTGTGTTCACACCGCAGACTTATAGCCACGTTTTGTTCTGTGTTTTTGTAGGGAAGAGACAGAACCGAAGTCTGTCGCTCCCGAGGCGCCCAAGGAAAACACAGTGCGACCTAGAAAGAGGAAGGCAGATGTTGCCATTGTAAGTAGCCTGAAAGGCTTGGAGACTAGCTTGTAACAGCTCTAAACCATATTTCCCAGCTCATGAATAAGCCAAGTAGCAGTGTGTCTTGATTCAATTTAAGTATTGCTAATAGATGCAGCTGGTATTGTGCTGCATATGACTGTGGTTTCATTTACTTTATTGGTGCTTACAAAGCAAAACACCCCCAAAACTAGATTCAGCTTCTACCTTTCACAGGCTCTAATGTGCTGTAGAAAAGATGATTTGATTTGAACCAGCTCTGTGTCGTTTGTGAATTGATTGACACTGAGAATAATATATATTTTTTTTATCTTTGAACCTCAGCACTTACAAGATCTGGACGAAGAAGTAGCAGAGATGACAAAGAAGAAGCAGCGCGAGTGTGAAGTGAGCTTCAACATCTCCTTGCACTTGTGTCAAAATGTGCCTCGTCCAGTGTTTGACTTCTGTTCATATATCAATTGTCAGAGTCTCACCACTTGATCTGTGTTCTATCAAATCTAACAATGCTGGTACACAAGTTGTATTGTGTCAACTATGTATGAGCTGATCTGTTTCAGGCTTTATTTGCAGTCATCTTCTTTGGCCTCACTGTGACATGTGTCTTTACTGTGTCAATCTAGAATTTTTCTACTTATATTTGTGCTCTCTTTTTTTTTCTCTCTCTCTCTCTTTTTTTCTGTGCAGGTGGGGTGGAGTCCTGATGCTGGTTACACAAGTCCACACAGGTGGATCCCCACACCTGATCAGGAAGAGTACCAACCAGTTTCTGTGATGAACGCGGGCTTCCCTCACTACAACTTCAACAACATATTTGCAACCCCCGTGCATTGTGCTCCGCTCCCTGCACTGTGGTGAGTACTGTTACTGTGTGGTTGATATTAAATATTTTTTTAATTTAGGTTTCATATCCTGTTGTCATCTGTGCTTGCTCTATATCAAAGCATGCATTTATCGGACAATTTCATGGCTAAGCCTTCATAAACAGTTTAACGTTAATTCAGAATTTTGGAGTGATGTGAAAGACAACTCTGTCCTCTGTCATTAAAACCAAAATAACTACTTATCATAAGGAAGACTGCTTTTTTTTTTTTTATTACTCTAGCAGAATTCCAGAGACCTTGAAAGTCTGTGACAAGCAGCAGTAGAGCACCCCTATGGTGAAGCCTTATGAACATATGTCAGATTGGTTTTCCTTTAATTAGTCACTCACATGTACTTATTGCAGAAAACTCATATGTCTTCTTTGTAAGTATGTTACTGTAATTTTTGGACTATTGAGCGCACCTGAATATAAGCTGCACCCAATAACTTTAAATAGGAAAAAATAATTGTACATATATAGGCCACACTTGTCTCCAACACAGAAAGATTTTTGTTAAAACTTTTAATTAAATACGTACTGGTAACATACACAAGTAAATGCTTTTTTCCGAACAGTGCCTGTAACACGGCTGGTTAAAAAAAAAAAAAATACAGTAACCTACCAGGAAAAATCATTGCTCGCTATCTTCATGTTCCTCATGCGCACTAAAACCACTAAAGTCGTCCTTTCAGTGTCGGAATTGAACAGCCTCAGAATTACTTTGTCGCACACTTCCTCAGGCTCTCGTTCGTTGTCACTCTCAATGTCACTTTTGTCTTGAGGCAGATTTGTAAAAATTGCAAAAATCCATAAATTAGCCGCATCATAGTTTAAGCCACAGTGTTCAAAGCGTGTGAAAAAAGCGGTGGCTTATAGTCCGGAAATTATGGTAATTTTTTATTTTTTTTGTCCGAGGGACATCGTGCTTCATGTTCAATTGATTTTTGCACACGTTGTACAACAGGGAAGGCAGTTGAGAGTTGAATTCTTTCATTTTTTAACAAATGTGTCCATCTGTCAGCTGGGCTAGTAAGGATGTGGTGTGGAACAACATGTTGGAGAAGGACAAGACCTACACCAGAGACGTCCATATGATGGAAAAGCATCCTCATCTGCAGCCCAAGATGAGGGCAATTCTCCTGGACTGGCTAATGGAGGTTTGTAGTATGTCTTAACCAAATACTGAAATGGTTTTGATCATTTCAGCTGTAAAAACACTATCCAATGTTTCATGACATCTTAGAGACAAAAAATAGATCTGTCTGCAACTAAAGACAATTTTATGATCCATTAATCTACATGTTATTTTCTCAATTGGGTCTCTGGGAAACAGGGCTCCAGACTATCTTTTACACTGGTTGCACTGGTGTGCATGACCTTTCCATTTAGGTGCACCAGCACATCATTTTGCTGCACTACAATTTTTGTGGTTCCTTTTGGTGCCACAAAAGTATGTGTGACCACTGAGTTTCTTTGTTTTGCTGATAAGAAGAGGATGCCATGATGCCATGATCCCTGCTTAGTCAGACAGAAACAAATGACTGTAATTGGTTTCCCGTCGTAGTTCTTTCCACCTAAGAATAGAACAAACGAGCTGATAATGTATATGGACAGTTGGTGTGGAGCGAACAGCACAGACGCTGTGCTATATTTCTTTCCTTTCATTGACAACAAATAGCAATACTGCAGTGTTAAAAAAAAAAGAGAAATCGGCCAAAGCATCCCACAGGGCAGGCACTCATTAGTTTGCAATGTAACCGGGAATGTGAGAGGGGTAAATGCTTATAGTGTCAGTCCATGTCCATTCTGACAGAAATAAATGTGACAAGATGTCAACCATAGGCTGTATTATCAAAGGTGCTATCGATACCTCCATAAATATATATATATAAAATATTAGTATCTGTTGCCCTAATATCACCCTCATTGAAATATTTTGCACTTGCTTTCCCTTTTCAAGGACAAAGTACAAAGTTGAATCTGAAGATACAAAGATTACTGGGTGTGAAAACATTGAATTGTCAAAATGTTTTTTACAGTGGAAAAACATATGATTTTAACCATTATTACACTGAAGGTGAAAAATGAGCTGCTGAGTTTTCCTATCTTTGGAATGGATATAGTCCCCATATAATATAATAATATATAATCACACTCAATATAAACCCTATCTGCTTTCGCCTTTTGGTTTCAGTTCTTCTTCATATCAAGAAAAAAATTGCTGTCATTAACCATGATACGGGCTGCGTATCAGTAATAGGGAACCTTATCAGACTGATGCAAGCCTGAGGTCTGTTTCAATAGAGCACACTTGTAAGTTTAAACAACTGTGCTTATTCTTTATATATCCCACCATTGTTGAATTATGAGCGCTGTTGCTGGGATTTTACATAGTTTATTAATTAACTAGCTACTGCAACCTGCACTTTCTACACTGCACACAGCTGACTGGGGCTTCTATGAAGTCACAGAGGGAACTACCACACACCCACAAACACACACACATGTACTGGTGCAATTGGTTCAACAGCTCTTAACAGTTTAATTCAAGCTCTGGTTTAAATTTAGACTCGACACAGTTTCATCAGTCACATCTGCTGTGGTTCAATACATTATCTCTGTGTTCCTTTTTTTTCCATAGGCTATCTGGAAATGACAAAATCCAGGGACAGTTTTGACCTCAATAACAGTCAAAAGCTACATAGTCATAGGAACATATTTTTGAGCATTTAAAAATCAATAAAGCAGCTGCAAATGATGCAAGTCGGAATTGCCGACATAATGTCAAACTGCATTTACATTTTTTGCAGTGATGAGACAGACAGCGACATTTATTGCTGTTTAAATCACCCTCTTATAACCTTTTGTTTTATTAATTTTTAAACAAATGAAATGTTTAAAATACATTCACAGCTTTGTCCGTCAGGAAATGACTGACACAAATGTACCTGTTTCAAGTGATTTGCCATTTTTTGCTGAGCAAATGATTCCATACAAACTTAGCATGTAGCTTTGTTGGGGCTGTGCTTCAAAATGCTGTCATACTTTATATTCCTTCTAAGACATGGTTATAGCTAACCTAGTGTACCATTCACTCACTTCATCTCTGGTTTCAGCTTCTCTCAACAGTTAACCACCTGCGCATGTTATTTATGATCAGCCCTGGTAGAAAATAAAAAAATACGTATAAGATTCTAATTCCTCATTGATTTATTTTCTTTTATCCCTGGGCGTTTTTGTAAGCTGACTGACAAAGATAAAAAAGACTGCTTATCGTGCAGAATCTGTCAGCTGAGGGGTGTCCAACAGATGATTTGACTCATTGACTTCTAGAGTGTAGCTTTGTGCTGCACACAGTTATTCCTTTATTGCCACTTAGACTACACTTTGCTGAAGTTACATCAACCTCGTCAGTGGAACCAGCTTCTCAGTTGAGCTCTCTGTTAAATTGAAAGCAACATTGCCTTGAGGGAAGCTCAACCTAAAGGAATACATATTGTTTCAACATTATTGTGAACTTCCTTATCTTATTTGGTGTCCACATTCACATTAGTAAATGTCAGTAGATATGGTTTAAGGTCTTGGGACACCACTAACAAAAGTGATTTTCTGTTTGTGTGCATGTTGTAGGTGAGTGAGGTGTACAAACTGCACAGAGAGACATATCACCTGGCTCAGGACTACTTTGATCGTTTCATGGCAACACAGAGAAATGTCTTCAAATCTACGCTTCAGCTCATAGGCATCACTTGTCTTTTCATTGCTGCCAAAGTAGAGGTAAGACTGTTTGGATTGTTACAGGACAGCAAAATGAATTTTGATTTTCTGTTCTTTCTTGGTCTTTGTCAGGGTTTGTCTAAGACATATAGTCATAACTGCATTTCCCATTTCTGCATTGTTACACAAGATTTGTTGTTAAAATGCTTTTGCGTTGCTTTCTCCTAGGAGATGTATCCTCCCAAGGTCCACCAGTTTGCTTATGTTACTGATGAAGTCTGCACAGAAGATGAGATCCTCTCTATGGAAGTCATTATTATGAAGGTAAAGACCACACACATTACTCCATGACACGTCAGCATGAACTGGTCTGCATTTACACTCATACCCATGCTGTGAAATAGTGCAGTGGACACTCTGCTTTGGCTGTTGGTGGATTAGGAGGCAGTAGGTACTGTAATACCCAACCCAAAAAACTATACAGTAACATGTTACCATAAGATTTGTCTCATTGTTCTACTTTAACAGCTCATCAAATAACAAATAAAATGGAGCATTTTACAGTTTTGCTTTTTTGTTGGTTTTCTTCTACAATGCTGTGTATTGCAAACAAACTGTGTCAGATCCTCAAGCAGAATGTAATATAATATGAATCTAACCAAACAACAAAATTGTATATTAAACATATGCAACCTTAGTAAACAGAATAAGTTTCAAATCATATGCAAAAATTCCAATTAATACAAACTAGTTTGTGTGAAAAAGTATCTGCCTCTTGGTTAATAGGTCTATAAACTATCAAACTACATTGATAACTGGCTGCAGCTGGATGAGATCCAATCAGGCCTTATTACTACCCGCCTTGTTAAAGCAAATCGCCGCTTAATGAGACCATTTTTAGAAACATGAAGTTGGCTAAAACCAGTAGCACGCTGCCAAAATCAAAAGAAACTCCAAAAGAGACAAGAAGGAAGATAATTAAAATACATCAGTCGGGAAGCGATTACAAAGCCATTTCTAAGGCTCCGGGACTCACAGTGAAGAGAAATACTCAGCAAGTAGAGAAGATTTTGGAGCACCCATGAGTGAAGTCTTTCAAAATATCCTCAAGAACACTGAAATGACTCACTCAGGAAGTCGCAAAACACTGCAAATCTCTTTCATCTTAGTAAAGGTCAGTGTACATGAGACAAAAACCGCTGATAAACCAGAAGAACATAAAGGCTCATCTGAAGTTTACCACATAACACTGATGACCCTCAAACCTTTAGGGAGAATGTTCTGTGGACCAATGAGACAAAAGGTGAACTGTTTGTAGATTTTAGTCCACGGTTTAATCTGAGATACATATGAAAGTAGAAGAAATCAGGGAGTCGAATACTATCGTGGCACTGCATAAAGAAGTTCTCTTGCAGGTGGGGCAAACAGTGTGCAGATAAATATTACAATAAAAAGTAAGAACGCATAAAGAGCCTTCTCAAAGCATTACAGCAGTGTGTAGTAAAAGCCTTCCCAGTGCAGCTGATTTGGCCTCATTTTCCTCCTGCAGGGGGTCAGAGTTGGCCAATGTGATACATACAAAAACTGGCTTTGTGATTTTTATTACTAACTTTCATCTTTTAAGGGAAAACAGATAAATATATATGTATAAAATATACAGAAGGAGAATGACATGTCTAGAGATCAATTAATAACAGATTCAAGGCCTTCCCAACATGCTCACAGTGGTAATCAAATCATTATTTTTTATATTGTGTGTGTTTCATATTTCTACAACCTGAGACACCATGTAATCCATGTTCTACCAGGTCTTCCACTAAGCTTGTGAGGACTTCCCCATGAGGGGTTGATGCAGTCACCTCACTGCAGTGATGACAGTGGACACAAGTGCTACCACTGTAGAACTTTGAATAGTGTTATTTGTAATAGTGCGGCTCCTTAGATACCTAAATCACTAGTAGACAGTACACATTATTTCTATTTGTTTTGTTCCCTGAAATGTCCAAAAAGTCATTGTTCTGTTGTGACATCCTTGAAACCGTACAAATGCTTAAATTTAAAATTTACTGGCGCTGTCATTGTTGGTTTTCCGTCTCCAACACGTCTCTTGTCTGCTCTTTCTTTCTCCTCTAACGCAGGAGCTGAATTGGATCCTCAGCCCTCAGACTCCCATCTCCTGGCTCAATGTTTACATGCAGGTGGCCTACCTGAAAGAGACAGATGAGCTGCTCATCCCCAGATACCCTCAGGCTACCTTCACACAGATTGCAGAGGTATGTTGCATGGGTGTGCACATGGTTTTCTTTTTTTTTTTTCATTTCTAATTTTGTCAGAGTGAAGCCCAAAATTATTCATACACATGACATATTTTGATTTATAGTTAATTTCTTTGACCAATAGGTTTCTTATGGCTGGAAATGACAGAAGACAGTGAACAAGCTGCAATACAATACATTGTGTTAGAAATTCCTATTCAGTTATTCTTGTTGCTGCCTTACGGTTGTGCAGTGTAACGTTGTCGAGGAAATAAAGTCTGTTCATTAAAAATATTTATTGTTCAAAAAAGACTGACAGTATTTCTGTAGGTACAATTCTGTTCTGTATACATGTTTGACCTTAAATCATGATTATTTGCTGTTTTTCAAGAAGAATCTTCTCTTCCTTACATACGTGCAGTATTGTTTGCTGATGATTGATTTTCCTTGTTTTTCTAGTTGTTGGACCTGTGTATGCTAGACATACGTTGTCTTGAGTTTTCCAATGGCATACTTGCTGCTTCAGCGCTGTTTCATTTCTCCTCTGTGGAGGTGGTGGAAAATGTCTCAGGTAACTAACAAACTAAAAGCAGCACAGTTGTTCATTTTTGCTGTGTTTGTTTCCTGCTAGCGTGACCGTTGCGTCGCCATCATTTTGTTCATACTCTCTCTGCCCATGCAGCTCTGAAGAGGGTGGAGGTGGAGGAGTGTGTCAGGTGGATGGTGCCATTTGCCATGGCGCTGCGGGAGGTTGGCGGGTCCTCAATGAAAACATTCACAGGAATCCCAGCAGAAGACATGCACAACATTCAGACCCATGCCACCTACCTTACATGGCTGGTAAGTAAAAGTATTAAAATGAGAAGAGATGGAAAACTGGAATAGTTGTGGGGAAAAAAATCTTCCACTATTAAAAGTAACTGCAGTCGTGACTCGATAATCCGACACTAAATGTAAAACCTTCTTTTATGTCGGATAGCAAGGCTGTCGGATTGTTAAGGAGGTCCAGATGCAAGGAGAGCTTGATGCTTGAAGGGTCATTTGTTGTTATTTATTGTTCATAGTTGTTGTAATAACTAGTAGTGCTGGTCCAAATAGCACTTTCTGGTCTCTGGATATTCAGGCCCAATAAATGATGAATATCCAAATATTCGGTGCGGTCGGGGGGGACACTTCCACCCCAGAGGTTCGCTCCAACAGGGTGGAAGTGGCCGGAACGCACAGACAGTATTTGGCTGCTGATGCTAGTTTAGTTAGCAGTGACAGTTCTGTTACCACCATCGGTGGCGGCAGCAGCGACAGCAGCGCCACTCGTCCGCCACCACCACCATCCGTGTCTACTTCCGCAAACACTGAGCACGCTCACTGCGTGTGACGTCGTCGTGTCCTCTTCTGCGCATGCGGGACACTTTTAGGTCGTGTGAAGTTCACACAGCAGATCACATACAAGTTGGATTTAATTGGAAATGTGAACGAACTCGCCAAAAAATTCGATTTCACAAAAAAATCCAAATTGAGCATTAAGTCCTGCAGTCTGAACGTAGCCAATCTGTCAGATTGTTAAGTCAGAAAATACGCCGTTATCCTTTTTTGTGACATAAAATGTCATGTCGAAGTCGGAATCCAAGGCTGTCGGTATGTTAAGGCTATTTTTCATGGGTTCCGCTTGTTTTTCCTAAAAATCTGTTGGATAGCAAGGTTTTCAGATTGTTAAGGGTCGGATTATCGAGTTACGACTGTACTTAAAATCTAATTTAAAGTCTGTGAACTCTACCATCTGAGTGAGTAAAATGTGTATTTAACCTACGACTTAACCTATCCACATATAACACCATGTCTTTTTTAGGGCTAATGATGATATCAACAAATGTTAAATAAGCTCCTGGAAAAGCCTCATTCATAGCTTTTATTGAAAATGTCCGTTCAGTAATTAGGCACAATATTTGTGTTTCTGCCATATATATTGTGATATGAAAAACAGCTTCATAAATATAGTCTAGGTACAACTTAACTGTAAGCTGTAGTCTGGCCAAAGCACTGCAGTCTGGTCCACTTGTTCAGGACAGCAGCCTTCACTGTGCTTAATGCATTCCATGTTGTACAGACCTAATGTCTCTCAGCTAGATCCCAAGCTTCTCTCATCCCTGCTGCTGTTTTTTTTCCCCTTTTTTAAACATCCAGGGGAAAATGCAATTTGCCAACAGCATGTTTTTAGTTGGGTGTCCTCATTAATAAAGTGGGCAGTCAGACTTATGTAGACTGTACCTAAATTCTGTTATAGCTGCATAATACTTTGCTTAGAACAACTCTGTTTTAACCCTGCATTATTCCTGCAACTCCAGGATAGCAAAAGTTAGTATGTGATGGTGTTGCATACTGTGTGTCAAGTGACTAGATCTTTCTTTTTTTTTTTAAAAAACAAGTTTTTTTTTTTACACTGGCAACGTAAATGTATTTTATATTTGTTTTACTCTGGATGACAGTCAGATCAGATCTGGCTTTGCATATGTCACACAGAGCTTTGTAGTGTTGATTTAAATGGTTAAACAGATTTGTGTTGCCTTGTGTCAGTGGCAATAGTTGCAAGACACAAAGTATGCCATTTTGGTTAACATTATCCTGTCGGTAGCCAAAATATTTCAGAACACCTGGTGTCTGATTTCTTTCTCCAGCCAAACTTTCTTTTTTTAGTGTTTCCTTTGCATTTTGTTGTTCACACGATGAGCCTGTAAGTCATGCCTGGATGTCAACAAACTGTCTAGTAAATATAGTTTAAAAAAAAACAAACAAAAGAAACTCAGTGTAGTCAAAAACCCTTAAATCAGAGTAAATGGTTCTACCAGACTTCTCTTCTAGATTAGTTATGGAAAATGAGAGCTGCCCAAATTTTCTTTTTGTATTAAGCAGCACATTGCACTTCCTGCAGTATGACTATTGCACATTTGCACATCACATTGTTAATGCTGAAACAATATATCATGTGGTCTAACTATGCTGGTATAATTTCCACAGTGGACCTGGTTTGCCTCCAGTTGTGACACCACAAAATTCTGCTTTCAGGCAATTTAACGTGTGTTTCTGTTGTGTACAGGACAAGGCCTACTCTTACCAGGATGTGGAGTTGGAGCGCCATAGCAACTGTCCTGTCCCTTCAGGTGTCCTGACTCCACCTCTGAGCAGTGAGAAAACTGAAGACTTGCTTCGAGTGGATGCTGCAGTACTGAAAATCAAACCGAGGATGCGTACTCCATCCCCACAAAGGCACCTTCCACAGTAGCAATACACTGAAACTGACAAGACAAAGGCAGATCATAATTAGATTTTTGCCTTTTAGCTGTACGTGGAAGAAAGGAACCTCTGATGTGTTGACTCAGAACAGCGACACCCTTCAATGCATATGCACAAGTTGGATTTTCAGCGGGGCAACATTGATGGAAACTGTGTTTTATCTTTTCAAAGTCATGCTGACTATTTGGATCCGGATGTTTTTTTAATGTCTTTGTATTTGGTGCACACAGACTTTAATTTTGGGAAACACTGAGACCTGTTGGTTTCACCCTCTTCCTTACAGGAATCTAACATATTTAACCTTCGGGTTTGGATGAACACACAAGCAAAGGGCTGTTGGAATGGGATGGCCCTCCAGGAGATTTTGTTTTTAATAGCATTGCACCCAAATGTTTGCATTAATTACCAACCAACCACACCTGCATTGTGTGGCCGCCATTTTTATTTTCTATGCAGAGACTAAACATGAGTGGACATTTTCTGGAGTCTCTACTTGATCTAGTGTGCGTGGGTGTGTGTGTTTGTTTTAACAGTGATTGGTGTTTTTTTTTTTTTTTCTTTTAATCTGTTAGTGGCCTCATTTGCCCAAAAACTATTTCTAGGGTCATCATTGGCTCTATTTGCTGCTATAAAGTGGGCTTTGCATGATGGGAAGTGTGTGTATGTGTCTGTGTGCAAGAAATAATGTGTGGCTCTTATTTTTTGGTTCTACTCTTGCCATTTTTATTGGACAAAACATGGCCATGTTTTGCTTGTGGACCAGTAGCTTGGCTACCTCAACAGACAAGTGAACCAGCCAGGCTTCAGAAGCTAAAATATTGATTGTATTTAACTTTTATTTTTATCCCAGCCGGCAGATTGTTTGCCTACCACCAAAATGTAAGATTTCTATCTGAATTTTTTTTTTTAAATAAAATGCTGCTACATATTTTCCATTAAAGAAAGTTTTGAAGAATGTTTTAAGTCATAGCATTTTGTCATTTTATAGACTAGTCTTTTTAAAATGAAAGCGCACAAGACCATTTTGACAAATGTTTAAATAAATTCTGTTGGTGTTCATTTGTGACATGGCTGTAACTAGCTCATGTACTGTGTTCTGCTTTACTCCTTAAGGAATCATAGATACACAGAGGCTTTATTCCACTAGGTGTCAGTGTGATGCTGTGAGTTTGATTGCATTCTCAGTGTATATAGCAATAGTAAGTCAAATACTGAAACATGCAGCTTGTACAAAAACTCACTTTTAACCCACGTTTAGTTCAGTTTTAAATTCTTTTCTAAGTCTTTTGAGCTTTGATCTAAACAGAGATCAGCACAGTGCAGTAATGCTACAATAAACTGTAGTGTGAGGAAACTGAGGGGAGACACTGACAGTCTGAACTCCAAGCAGTTTCTGGGCATATTTTTATTTTTGTTTTTGCATTTGTTATAGCTTATACTCACTGTGGGCTCATTTTTCATTGCAGTATGAAGTCCTGCACTGATACAACCATGGCTAGAAGTAGAGAGAACTCACACGCTGACACAGACATGCCATAAATTATTATTTAAAAAAAAAAAAAAAAGTAACAGTTGAATTTCTCTGATATTTTATTTTACAAAAAAATGAAAAACCTGGAATGCACATTTCTAACATTTTTTTCAAGTGTTCACAGAGAAATTGCAGAAAATAACAGGGCTTCACATGCTATAGATATTTAACAGCCTCCCCAAACTCATTACACCGACTCTAGAACAATATTTCTTTATGCTGAATGTTTCTTCCAGCAACTTGCTCCACTGATAACTCTTGAATCGTTCTTCACTTATTTTATTGATCAAATATGTTTTAGTTTCCTCTGTCTCTCAGCCTGCAGCTCACCTGAAAACTTATTTCACGTTACTTTTGGTTGACAGCTGAGTCAGTCAATCGATTCTCAGTTGTGCTGGCAAGCACAGATTTCTTCTTTATTACATGATCCAGTCTAAACTGTTTATTTTTGGCAAAATTTTAAATGAGGTGACTAAATTGCTTTGATGAAATATCACAGATTTTATCTTAGATGTGGTTAAATTTCCCGGTGGATCAGCATGTTGCAGGTGAGCAGATGAATAGTTTTAAGGACCGCTGGAAGAAAGAAAATTTTAAATTTTAAAAATTCTTTCTGCTTTGGCTGTTTTTAGTTTGATCAACAGTGTAGGTTCTTTTTTGTGTGGTTTTTTTTTTGCTGCTTTTCAAACCTCCGGGCAGGTTTTGGGGTTCAGAGTGTCCTGATGTTACCTACCAGAAGTGTACACACAAAGCTCTGGAACCTCATGAATTGTGTTCTGCATGCTCGGTTTTCTTTAATCCATGCAGTTGAATGTCCTGCTGACCTGTGTGAAAGGTTAGTGCTATAAGCCTGCACTCATTTGAGATTGTGGGACACCCACCCTCATAGGCACAGTGCTCCACATAGCTGGAGTCATGGAGTCTTAGGGGAGATTTTTTTTTTCTACCAAAGTCACCCACTTATAATGTGCTTAGGCTTAAAATGCCCCATATAGATGTGGCTGCTTTGTGTGACAGGTGGGTGTCGTCATAGTGCGGTCTATGACCCACAGGTGACTGCCTCAGCTCCACTCACTCTATTTTACTGTGGAAAGCATGGCTGTTGCATCACTGCAGAGCAGATGGAGATAGACATTAACACATTAAGCATTCCATTAACCCACGACACACACACAAGAATAACACCTGTAGTCAGGAAAGCTACACATAGATGTCAACAGCTGCAGCCTCAAAGTGTGATAAGACATAAAAATTCAAGAAACAAAATACTGGAATGGTTTCAAAACTGGGCGGCACGGTGCAGCAGTGGTTGGCACCGTTGCCTCACAGCTTGTAGGTCCTGGGTTAGAATCTCAGCCTGAGGTCTTTGTGTGGGGAGTGTGCATGTTCTCCACGTACCTGTTGGGTTTCTCACCAGGTGACCTGGCTTCCTCCCACAGTCCAAAGACACGCTGAGGTTAATTGGTGATTGTAGGTGTGAATGTGAGTGTGATTGGTTGTGTCTGTGTGGCCCTGTGATACACCAACCTGTCCAGGGTGTCCCTTCCCTTCACCCTAAGTTAGCCGGGATACACTCCAGGGCCCTCATATCAGCGTGCTTGTAGCTGAACTGAGAATCCAGAGTAAACAGAACCTGTTACCCCATGCCAACAATGTTAGGATTCTCTGCAGAGGATCAAATCAAAGCAAGGTCACACCCATAGTAACCAGTCAGATCACTGGTAACACAGAGATATCAGGCTCAGCAGGAACTCAGTGGAGAGTATTTCCTTTGATAGTTTGTAAGTCCATCTTTATTTTTGATTTCAAACCAAATCCTCCTCAGCATAAAGAATGCCACATTTCTGGAGAGCTGTTCTTCTATCCCCTTTTTTTTTTCCACCTGCTCTTTGCTGGAGGGGGTGTGTTGCCTCGCCTCTCTCTCAACACCCAAAGGCGTTCTATTGGATTCAAATCAGACAATATACATTTCCAGGTCGTAGTTTTTACTTTTTTTCTTTTGAAACTCGTGTGATTTTGGCAGTGCGCTTTGGATCATTACCATGTTGGAATATTCCTCTTTCTTCAAGCGTCTGTAGACTGAGAGTCGTGTTGTCAGCCAGTATTTTGGTATTCATGCTGCCATTTAAAAATACCATCCTCCCAACATCTTCTGCCTTCATTCAGTCCTATATCATCACACTCCAACCTCCATGCTGCACTGTCAGGACTATTCAGTCAGTGTGGTAGCTGTGACCAGGTTCACGGCAAACACATTGTACCACATCCGATCCAAACTAATTTATCAAAGAACGGAATTTATCATGTGCTCCTCAGTTTCTTTCTCTTGCTGTTTCTGTAGCAAAGTTTAATCTTGCAGTTTTGTACCAAACAAAAAAGAAGGGTGTTTTCTTCTTGAGTGTCGTCCATAGAGGTTGATATTATGAACTATCCCTCATACTGACTGACTGAGCTGTCACAGCAACTCTGAATTCCATTTATAATCCCTGTGCCAAGTTGGAAACACCTGCCCGTCTGTGTTTCATAGATAGTCTGCTAAGTGTCACTCTAATAGGAGGACCACTGCAGCTCTGATTAGTGGTTCTACTAGTATGTCGCATTCCACAACTCCTGATAACTGCTACAACTGTGTTTCAGTTGATTTTTAATTGGTCACTGATCTTCCTCTATCCTTTTCGACCTTTGTGAAGTCTCCCAAACATCTGATTCATCTATTTTTCAAACCCTCTGGCAATTCTTCTCCATATGGAGCCATGATGCAGGCATGGATCGGTCCAAAACTGAGGGTTCTGGTGTTCACAGGTCATTCTATAACCATGTTCATGTAATTAGGATAACTGGCTCATATTCTTTTTAATTCTAAATTGTCTGTCAGTGATCACAGGCATATTACCTTTTGGTGCACTGAGTTTCTACTTTAGCCTGTATTTTCAATTTAGTTTTTCTAAAGTATGTTTTTCATTGCTCGTAAAAGGAAATACTTTACTCATCAGGCAAAGACCAGCAGAATCTTCAGAATGGCTTAACATTTTTTCAGAAGTTTGTGCATCACTGTTATCCTCCAGGACTGCAAGGTGGCTCGCAGCAAGAAGGTCGCTGGTTCGCATCCCGGTGAGGACACCCGGGATCTTTCTGCGTGGAGTTTGCATGTTCTCCCCGTGCAGCGTGGGTTCTCTCCAGGTTCTCCGGCTTCCTCCCACACAGTCCAAAAACATGTTGAGGTTAACTGGTGATTCTAAATTGTCCATAGGTGTGAATGTGAGTGTGCTTGGTTGTCTGTCTCTAAGTGCGGCCCTGTGATAGACTGGCGATCTGTCCAGGGTGTCCCCTGCCTTCACCTTAAGTCAGGTGGGATAGACTCCAGCCCCCCGTGATCCTAGTGAGGATTAAGCGGTGAATAGATAATGGATGGATGGATAGATAATGGATGGATGGATGGATGGATGGATGTTATTCTCCATTCTGAGGAGGACTGAGCCTGTCACCAAATATAAAGGACATATGAAGTATTAAAAAAATGAAAGATTTGAATCTCAGTAATGAAAGGTATATTGACTTTTGTTGCACCTATTGTGGGTGTTTTTTTATAATAGCAAATCTAAACTGTTTTTCATTTAAATAAGACCAAATATCCTTCTGTTCAACGTGGAAGTAATGCAATCACTGTAAGGCGATAAAGTTGTGGCTTCTTTTGTATACTGTAAACCGTTGTTTTTTTGCTGTTCTGCCCCAATTCTAGCACTACATACTTGCTGAATTGAGGATGTCATGAGCTTCCAATTAATGTCAGTTGAATATTAGCGGTCCTACAGCCAATTTATAGGCACACTACTGCCAATAACTGTACAATTTTACCATGTTTACCTCTCAATGCCGCTTCAAAGCAGCGTCAGAAAAAGAGCAGTATGTATCAAGTGCAGGTTAAGTGTACTGTGTGTTAGTATTTTCCAATATAGGACACACTAATCTACTACTTGGTGGTGTGTGAACACGCACTCAGTACCGCAAGTGAGGGTAATGGGGTCAATCCCAATACCTACACTTGCAACATTTGCGAGTATTTACTAATGTGCCCATTAAAACCATCAGTCTGTATAGGTTACATTTGGCCTCACAGGTACACACTTGGGTAATAAAGACATCCCACAAATACAAATACCACACATGACACAATCAAGCTCATATGATTTGTTGAAACGAACCCTGCAGTGATACAGTTACTCACATTACCATAAACACACACATTCAGAAGTGGACAGGAGTGAATTAATTAATGAAGACATTAAACTGAGTTATCTAAGCTCCGCCATAACGCTGCAGTGTTTGAATGTGAATCATCATATTCATGCTGAATCCAATCCAATACTATATTTTTCTCCAGAGCTCTGCCTTAGCAGCTCCTCTTTACT